GAGGAGGAGGAGGAGGAGGAGGAAGAGTTGAGCCACTTCTCGCTGAGGCTGGAGGGGGGCCGGCCGGAGTCGGAGGATGAGGAGGAGGTACTTAGGAGGAGGCCTCGGGGGTCTCCGGGTGCGGGCCCGCGCTGCCCACCATCTGCCGCGGGGGCTCCTGGCTGCGCCCTCCCTCTGCGCATCGGGTCGCCGGGAGCCGGCCTCGGCGACAAGGACACCGACGGCCCGCTTCTGCAGGGTGTTAGGACGGTGCTCCCAGCCACGGAAGGGTTTTAAACGGGTGTTAGCGCCCGCTTCATACAGCCAGCCCGCATCAGCGTATTCAACGTGAGCACCAGTGTCTGGAAGCCACCACCCCACCCACAAACACCCCAACCCACTGCCCTCTGGGCGATCCCGACCCACAGCGACCCTGTTCAGGCTTTCTGCACCAATACTGACAGCCCCACCCTCCGCCCGGAGCCTGAGCTGGATGGATGGTGGGTTTGAACTCACCACCTTGCGGTTAGCAGTCTCGACAACACCACTACAAACTCCATTGCCTTCGAGTTGATTCCGACTCACAGCGACACAATAAAGGGTTTCTAGACTAAGCTTTTCTGGGAGATTACAGCCTCATCTTTCTGTCCCGGAGCAGTGACTGTCACTCGCCTAGCCCTGAGCACTCCAGGGTCTCCCAAGTAATTCATAAAATAGGAGCCACCCTCTCCCTTCCTGGCAGTATACATTCGATCTTTGCAAAGGAAATCTTTTTGAAACATGTTATTGTAACTTCCGCAGGGTTGGAGGGAAAATACTATGTTTGCCCCGGGAGTACACTGTTTCCTTTGGCGAATTGGCGACACATTGTTAATAATGACTTTGGTAATGATGGTTTAGTCTAAGTCTCTCTCCATTGCCTTTGCAGCGCCTGATTAACCTCTCTGAGCTGACCCCGTATATCTTGTGTTCCATCTGTAAAGGTTACTTAATAGATGCTACTACCATTACTGAGTGTCTTCATACCTGTAAGCATGCAGATCATATTCTTGTATATATTTTCTATTTTAGAAATGGCTGGCAAGCATCCTAATGAAAATGTATGTTTTCCCACAGTTTGTAAAAGCTGCATTGTGAGACATTTTTACTATAGCAACAGATGCCCAAAATGCAACATAGTAGTACATCAAACACAACCTCTTTATAACATAAGGTAAGAGGATTATCTAAGTAACTTTTAAGTATACTTTTTCTGAATGCTTGCAGTTCTGTAATTGGGAATAAATTCTTAGACAATCTTAAAATTAGAAGACAGGAAAAAACAACAACAAAACAAACAAACAAACAAAAATTAGAAGACAGGGTACTACTTATTATTTTAAGAAATATCCATTGAGCACTTACTACATACCAGGCACTGCACTATTTGCTGGTGACTTACTATTATGATTAATATCATTAACTTTTTATTGGGAATTAGGTGGGGCTTTATAGACTTTTTTTTTTAATGAGGTACAGACCTTTTTTTCTTTTTTCTTTTTCTTTTTTTTCTTATTTTGCTGTTATTATTATTGCAATACAGACCTTTTTTTCTTGCGTATTTTAATTCCAGCACTCAAGATAATGAGGCTAGTTTAGACTTGTCATTTGCATATTAAACTAGTACTTGAAGCAACTGATTTCCCTTTAGAAAAGTCTGTTATGGGTCATTGTGTTTTAATACTTTTCTATTCCTGAGCATCAAGTGTTAAGTTTATGTTAAGGGAAGAAAAATCCAACAAGTAAATATCTTTCATTAATTCAGCAAATGTTGTTTCATTTTTACTACCTACACAGAATATAAAGATATACAAAGACGTTTAAGAGACAGGCTCTGCCTTCAAGCTCACCTTCTTAGGGCAGGGGCGTGTGGGGACAGTTGAGTAAACAACAGTATTCAAGACCATCCACAATTACTTGCTAATTTTTAATTACTTGAGGTTCTCTTAGGTGAGTTATATTGTAGACATTATTTATGCAACCGAAAAGTAACTAACCTGAGAAAGGAGAAATCCACTCCCAAGAGAAGGCATCATTTATTACCCACAAATGCATCATTTACTCTGCCCAAATGCGTTTTCTCAATTCTGAGGTATTCTCCATCCTTTCCTTTTATTAGGTTGGACCGACAGTTACAAGACATAGTGTACAAATTAGTGATCGATCTAGAGGAAAGTAAGTTTATTTTACTCATAGTTCTGAATCCCAGTCTCTGCTGGCTCCACTAGTTATATTTTAAGTGTAATTTAGTCTGTGTTTTGTCATTTTTTAGGAGAAAAAAAGCAAATGCATGATTTCTATAAAGAAAGAGGTCTAGAAGTGCCTAAACCTGGTAAGTTTGGGTGTCTGCCATAATATAGTTACAGATTAAAATGCTAATTTGTTAAAAGAAGCAAACAAAACTAATTTGATAAGGTTTCCTTCCTATTGGGGTTCTACCTGATGATAGCTAGTTATTTTCTGATCAAGAAGAGAGATTTTGAAGATTCTGTGTGGTGGACTATTAATTGTTTATAGGAATTAAAGAGGGAAAGCTCTGTAACTAGGTGACCCGAGTTTGATCTCAGCTCTACCGTTTTACTAGCTGTGTGACTTTGGCAAATTAATATCTCTGATTCTACTTTTACAGTGTAGGCGTAATGGTAGGTAATTATAACACTTCATAAAATTGTAAAGATAGATTGAGTAATATAAAGCACTTAAAACAGTGCCTTGCACATAGTAACTGCTCAAACATTAGTTTTTAAGATGATGGTGCTATCTCTGAATGGAAGTCAAATTCTAACATTCTGGTCCTTTTCTTAATATGTGGGTGCCTTTAAATCCAATTTGTCAGTTAAAAAAGGCTGTGGGTGGGGAGGCAGTAGTACCACTTATGTGGAGTCCCTGGGTGGTATGAAAGGTAGGTTGTAAGAGCTCAACTACTAGCTAAAAAGTTGGCAGTTTGATTCCACTCAGAGCCACTTCAGAATATAGGCCTGGCAATCGAATCTGCTTCTGAAAGGTCAGCTGTGAAAACCTTATGCAGTCAGCATCACAGCCACGTGTACCCTAGGGTTATAAGCCAACCCAAACGCACTGCCATCAAACGGATCGTGACTCATAGCGACACTATAAGGCAGTGGAACTGCTCCTTAGGGTTTCCAAGAAAATATTTACGTCAGCTGACAGCTTCATTTTTCTCCCTTCAAGGGGCTACTTGGTTTAAACCAGTTTCCCAAAGTGGGTGATACTTCTGGAATGATCCAGGAGGTCTGCCAAAACAGTGATCTACACTTTATCTTGGATTATAGGCTAGATAGTACACACGTTTTTAATTCCCTTTTCATTGTTCTCACTCAACATTTTTTGTCCTTACTCTTTTTTGGCTCTGAAATAGCTGCTCCGCAACCAGTCCCTTCAAGCAAAGGAAAATCTAAGAAAGCCCTGGAATCAGTGTTTCGGATTCCACCTGAACTTGACATGTCTTTATTACTGGAGTTCATTGGGTGAGTACCCTAAAAACCTACCTCTTAATCTTCAAATAAAGTCGAATTATTCATATGTCCCTAGAAAAATTAACTATGAAATAGTTAAGACATAGCAAAAAGGTATAAAAAGAAGAACAATAAGGTTTGCATGTATCAAGCTATCATACTCTGTGTCATCGAATTGATTACAGCTCAGAGTGACCTTATATAACAGAGTAGAACTTCCCCTGTGGTTTTCTGAGACTGTAACTCTTAAAGGGAGAAGAAAACTTTGTCTTTCTCCTGAGGGATGGCTGGGATTGTCGAACTGCTGACCTTGTGGTAAGCAGCCCAGCATGTAACCACTGCACCATCAAGGCTCCTACATATCAAGTTATAGTTTTAAAGGATACTTCTATAGTTTACAGAATAACATGCCTTGTTGGAAAATATCGCTAGCCTAGTTTGTGTCACTGAAGACTAACTTCTCGAGCATTTCCTACTTATTACATCTGGGTCATGTATATCATTCATTTAATATCTCACTTGTGGCATGCTGTATTTGTCTCTATCTTTTCATCTTGTGGCATTACTAATATTATCAATTCATAAGAGACAGGAAGCTTTTTGAACACTGCTATGGAGCCCCAGAATTTACGAATAGTGAAATATGATGATAATGAAATAAAGATCTCTTTGGAGGAATGAAAAGAAACTAAGTAATTCCAAAATTTAAATCATTAAGTTGATTTTAATTATTATTTTTTAATAATGACCCTTTCTACTACTATACGGTACCAAAACCACAAGACCAAACTTGGCGCCATCGAGTCGAGGCCAAATTCTGAGAATTCTATTTTTAGTACCTTGGTTGAAAAGTGGCGTACTATTAATCAAGGATCGAAAATACAGGACAGCTGGGCCACTTACTGTTAAGGAGCCCTCGTGGCACAGTGGTTCAGCACTTGCCTGCTTACAGATTGGTGATTTGAACTCACCACTCTCTAGGAAGAAGATGTGGCAGTCCACTTCCATATAGATGTATAGCCTCTAAAACTATGGAGCAGTTCTACCCTGTCCCATAGGGTCTATGAATTGGGATTTCGGTGCCACTCATTTATGTCATTCTTTGAGCAGAGCAGAAATCTGTATTTAAGCATGACTGACTTTACTAATGAGTGAGTCTACCTCAATGCTAACAGTAATTATTACCACTTCCCAAAGTTGTTACATTTTAACACAGTCTGTACTAGATTGAAACAATAAGGAGATCTGGATTTGTCTTACATCTGCTGTTTTTAGCTTGGCAACTTTGAACAAATCACATTTTTGTTTATTCTTAAGATATTTTTTCTGCCCTGCGAAGTGTTAAGTGCTCAGAATATAGTTTTAATATGCCATTAAAAAAAAATACATGTCATTCATGGTTTCTGATAAAACTTTCAGTATCCTCACAGCTTCAGCTTCCCTCTTTGTAAAATAAGAATATGCCTGACATGTGTGATGGAGATTCGGTCTCATAACGTTGTCCATTATCTCTTTTCAAATAATTTGTGAGGTAGGGGAAGACTTTCCAATAGCAAGGAGTTTTTTTGACGTCACCACTTGCCAGAGTTAAATCCCCTAGTTTTCACAGGCTGCTGGGGGTCATCACGGGAAGCTCTTTTCATAGCAGGATGAGTGGAAGATGAGCTTCAACCTGATGTGGCAGTTTCAGTCCAGCTCATTATTCTGCATCAACTGGAAATTAGGGGAAAATGAAGCAGGTTGAACCAGTGGATAGTAACTTTTCACCCACTGCCATATGACCTTAGGTCTCCTGCTTTAGTTGGATATCCATATTTTGTGATTTTATGATAGTTTCTTCTTTTTGTTCATCAATTACTCCATGGAAAGTAGAGGATTATAAAAAGAAGTAACTGCAGACAGGCAATATAGTATAAAGAAAGCATAGACTTGGAAGAGTTCAACTTAAGGTATATATACTTTGGGAAATAGCTTAACCTTTCTGATTATTAGTTTCTATTTTGCTAAAATGGGGATTATAATAGCAACCCACAGGATTATTGTAAGCATGAGCATAATAGTATTCCTAAAATGGGTAAATGATTACCAATATATAATATAAATATTGAAATATTTCAGGGTCATTCAAAACCAAAGGTAAAAGTAGGCCATGGTGCTATAATATATACAATATCTGCATATGAAAGAGAATAGTTTCACATGAGATACGGCTGCCAAAAGTTTAATGCAATCTATCTTCTGTTTTTGTCTGACTAAGGTATTGTGCCTGATTCTGAGTATAATATTTTAGGAGGATACTGATAAACTGAGATATATCTAGAACAATAAAAATCAGAAAACCATGTTGTCATAATTGGTAATGGAAGGAACAAAACATCTTCAGTCTGGAAAAGAAAGAAATCGTAACCCCTCAAATTAACATCAAATCTTTAAGGGATTATCACATAAAAGAAAGATTGTATTTAATTGACATTGTATCAAAACACAAAACTAATACCAGTAGGTATAAGTTACAAGGAAACATATTTGATTCAGTGTAAGCAAGTAATTTCTAACGAAAGTTGACCATAATTGGATGGGTTGACTTGCTTTCTCTCTCTCTGGGTATTCAGACAGAAATTATATACCCATTTGTCATGTATCCTATACAGATGATTCTTATATTAATGGGTGTTCTATAGCTAGTTTGCATATTTATATGTAGTATTACCACATGAATATTATACTAAAATTCCATTCTTCACGAAGTGGTAGGAAAGAAAGCATAAGGGCTTTGGTATTGAGCACACCTGTTTCGATCCCATCGTTACCACTCAGTAACCTTAAGCAAGTTATTCAATTTATCTGCGCCTCATTTCCCTCATCTGTAGATTGCCTAATTTTCAGTCTGTTGTAGACTAAGGTGAAATGAGAAACATGCAAAATCTATGAACATCTAATATGCCTTGTATATAGTAGATTATAATAGCCCCCCCCTTTTTTAATCATTATAATATCCTTATAAGAAATCTTACCTTACAAAGGAACTCTTTTAAAGGTTACTATAGGGGAAAAATATGTTGTTATGATATTTTTAAGAAGACAAACTTTAAACTGGAAAAATAAAAAGAGAAGAATCTAGATATTAATGCACTTTTTAATTCTTGAAACCCGCTGTCATCAAGTTATTCTGACTCATAGTGACTGCCCACGACAGCGTCAAACGGCTCTTCGGTGTTTCTGAGGTTGTAAATCTTCACAGGAGCAGACACCTTCATTGTATGGCTAGTGGATTTGAACTGTCAACCTTGCCAGTAACAGCCTAGTGCTTAGCCCAGAGTGCCACCAGGAGTCCTAAATATTGAAAACTAAGTAAAATGTTTTAGGGAGTTGCCTTAGTCTTACCACTAGGTGGCAGAAATGACAACTAATTTTAGTTCATAAGGAATTGTATGTCAGTGCCTGAAAATTTTCAAATAAATCAATATTCTTCATATCTTTATATTATTTTCCTGTTACATAATTAAGCATCATTTAAAAAAATTAAATATTGATTGATTTTTTTCCCCTCATTTTTCAGTGCTAATGAAGGCACAGGACATTTCAAGGTATTTATTTTTCATTTTCATTTTTTTTCATTTTACAAGAGGATTGTGTAACACACAAATGTTGAGTCAGATTAGCAATTATAAGGAGAATGTCTTCAACTACAATAAAGACTATTACATGCATAGAAGTTATTGAATTATGAAATGCATTTAATAACATTCTCTTGTAATAGGTTTATAAGGAAAGAGATTTATTAAATAAAGATTTATTATTCATTCAGAACAGTGAAGAAAAGAAAGAAATGTTTAAAGCTCTAAAAGTCAAATGCTGTTAATTTATTGATACATGTTTCAAAGCGTTTTTACATAATTCCCATTTAGAGTTAATATGAGCTTAATGATTCTGTTTGCATGTAATATTTTTGGCTCAAGTTAACCTGCCCTAATTTGTTATTTCAATAATTTACTGCGATTTGAGAAGTCAGAATGAACTTTGTAACATACTTAAATTCAGAATTATCTGAAAGTCTGCCAACTCATAGCTGCCTTTGTACAGTGTGGTGACCACAGCATGAGGGACTCAGGGAAGGGTAACTTTTTAAAGGGGGAAATCAGGCTCTTTCACAGTTACTTCAGATTGGAAATAGGTAGTAAAGGGAGTTAAGTAGCTGATCTGTTTATATTTTCAGTGCCTTTGTCCAAGTTCATGCTAAAAATTGGGTGAGTTTTATTTGGGCATACTGTTTTTTGTTTTAGAAATAATACTGGTTTACAGATAATGAATTAAAGCATAGAGCTAGATAGATACTTCTCTGGAGGAAGTATGTTATAGGCTCCCCCCCCCCCCCATATCAGTATGATAAAAGGAAAGCAATGTTAAGTCTCTGGTTTTTGAACTCCTAAAGTATAAAACATCAAACTAATGGGAGAAAGAGGAGGCTTTCTATTTCCGTAAAGATTTTCAGTCTTGGAAACTCACAGGGACAGTTCTACCCTGTGCTACAGTGTTGTTAGGAGTTGGAATTGACTCCCTGGCAGTGAATGTGGGAGTTTGACTGGTGACAGACCTCAGGAACCCTCCATAGTGGTATGCTGGGTGGGAAAGTGACAGATACATTTCTGTGTGGCACAGCTATTGAGTCATAGGCTCCTAAAACCAAAGTGCTTGACTCTGGGTTACTCCCTGTGTGTCCAGAGTGGAAGTGCGCTCCATCAATAGCTCCCGAAATCTTCTTCAACCCAACAAACAGATAGGCTTGATTGGTAAATGATGTTTACCCTGGGCATTGTGCTCTCTTTGTAAAACTGTAAGGGATGAAACTGACAATGGCAACTCAAAGGATGAAATAAAAAACTTAGAGAACAGTGGGTGTATGTGAATGGAGAAAGTATAACTCAGAAAAGGAGAGTGAGAATAGTCCTACAACTTGAAGGTAATCATTGTCACTGAATTGTGCGTGTAGAACCTGTTGAATTATTATATGTTTTGCTATGTATATTCTTGACAGCAACAAAAAAGAAAATAATTGATTAAAATAGAAGAAATAAGGAATGAATCCTAATGCATGCAGCCATATGGGTGAACTTTGAAAACCCAATGCTAAGTGAAATAAGTCAGAAACAAAGGGGTAGATATGGAATGATCCCACTTATCTGAAATGTCTAGAATAGGCAAATGCCAGAGCCTACAGTCAATTACTGGTTACCTGAGGCTAGAGGGAAAAATCAGGAAATATTGCTTAAAATTATGGCAAAAAGATGCACAACACCCCTGTGAGGACGCGGTGTGGTCCAGACACTGGCTCCTCGTTGATGGAACCGGTGAGCCCTCCTGGAGGAGCTGGGCTGGGACAGGGGCAGCCAGACTGCTGACCCCAGAGCCCCAGCAGGAAAGCCTGGCCTCGCCCACATGTGGGCTCCCTTGAGTGATAGCAGGGGCTACCTCTCAATTTAATGTCACAGACAGTCTGCCAGGAGCCTTTCACCATCCTTACCTGTACCTGACGGGGTCAGGGACTTCCTGGGCGCCTGACACAGGCAGTGGTTCCCTACGCTGTGTTGTCCCTTGAGGGGACAGGGCTTTGCCACTGTCCCTCTGTCTCCTGACCAGGGGTAGAGGCAAGGATA